GGCAGTAAAGTGCATGAGGACTGCAACTTGGGTTTGCTAAATTTGATGGTCTTATTACTTAATACAATCTCATAATTCCTGCTGCCTTGCACCATACCTGTTACCACTGTCTGCCTTGAATGCCAGGAGCGATGTGGCATGCAAACAAACCTCTCCTATTGCTTTTCCTTTTCCTTTCCCTTCTCTGCTGGTCTTTGCCAGGATCCTCATTTGGCAATTTAACCAGTAATTTCCTCTGCTAGGGACTGAAGTCATCCTTCTCCTTGTAACCTGCCACGTGGTTTGTGTCCTTTCCCACGTTACAGCAGCAGGCAGCGTGATGCTGGGACAACGTGGTAGGGTGATTGAGGGAAGAGATGAACAAGGAAAGCTGTAGAACCTGCAAACAAAAGGGTCATAATTCCAGTGCATGGGATGCCTGCTGCAAGGGAGCTCACAGGTTGGGAGTCCTCACCTGGTTCAGCCTGTGCTTTCCACTATCAAGATACCTCCAGTACCCCTAGCCTGGGCTGTCCACTTCAATGGTCCTGCAGGGTGGGATCACCTAAGGGCTGGTCATCCCAGCAGTTCTCAGAGGAGAATGTCTCATCCAGTGCAAACATCTGCAGGCAGAGCCTGGAGAAGCTCCAAGTGGATGCTCTGTGCAAAATGTGCAACAGCTCCTCACACCTCGCCTGGTTCACTGCAGCTCATTTCCTGTGGGGCCCTTTGCTACACACCACGGTAGAAGGAGACTGGGAATACAAGAACCTGATTTCCAATAAACAGCTGCTGTGTAGCTGGATCACTGTAAAACATGGAGCTGTAGAGGGACAACAGCCCAAAAGCCTGCATTCTCTCTGACTTATGTTGCTTTGCTTTTACAGAGCACAATCAAAAAAGCCCTTACTGGCCACCCTCATATTCCCCTGGAGTCCTCCTCATGCTTGGCTGTGAAAGCACTCCCCTGGTAGCTGTTACCCTGCCTGCTTAGGGGGAATGGGTTTAGTCCTGTATTTTGCTCTGCATTTCCCAAGACACTGATCTGTGCCAGGCCCTTCAAAGGTTGCAGCGCTGAGGAACTGAGCCCCATAGAAGTGAACACTCAGGTGGTAAACGAGAGGAGATGAATACAGAAAAGTACAATAGACTTGAATGAAGTGAGAGACTTGTATAGGTTCATTTGAGCAAGAGATGTGTAACTGCCCTTAAGAAATGATTGTTAAGGAGAAAGAGAGAAGGGAATGGGAAGACTTAAAGAACCTGAAATAATTTAAGATGCTAAAATTAATGAGTTTCTGCTTTGGTGCTCATCCTAGCACCCTGAAGAACAATCCTGTATCTCAATTTTCTATTTAACTAGTGTACTGTCTCCATACAAATGATGGAAATCTATTGAAGTAGGAGCAGCACAAGATGCCCCTTCCATCCATCTCCTTTTGAGAAGGACATAGGAGTGTGTGAGTGCTTCCAAGCAGGGAATGGATCAGATACTTCCCTTGCTGAGCTCTGTGGGATGCTGCAGCAGGGCAGGACGTGCAGCCTGCAATCACCCAGACAGGGGATGCACAATGTCCATGTGGGAGGCAATGACCCAGACCTGCAGCTGCACTGGTAGGATTGGGGCTTTTGGAAGCAGAAGTCCATGTTGTGTTACCCACTGCTGCCAGTAGCAAGGTTTTGGAGTAAAGAATGGGGTATTGAAAGAGATTGTCTGTCTTTGGCACAGGGATAAGAACTATGTTTTATTAAGTAATGGTAGTACAGTACAAAAATATGATTCTATACAATCTGTGAAAAATATGGCACCTTTGAAAATAGCTTTTTCTCCTTTCATATGTTCCTTTCTTTTTAAAAATATACACTCTAAATGCTTCTAACCTTTTTTCCACCAGCATTAGGAAACCAAGGTCTTTAAATCGCAGTCAAGATAAAGGGCAACCAACAGTGTAATTTGAATTGTCTTTGATTTGCTTTAAAATTAAAGATCTTAGAAGGGGCAGAAGAATAAGAAAAAACTTCCAGAAAAGTCTGAGGAAAACAAAACAAAAAATGTTCCTGTTTAGAGGTTGTGAGAATATTCAGCATTTGAAATTGTTTGATGTTTTCAGGATCAAAGTCTCCCAGCCCTGACCAGCAAAGGCCTCTAGGACAGGAGAATTAGGGCACTACCAGAGCCACAGAGCAGCTGTTCACAGGCAGCTGGTGCTTGGCCAGGGTCAAGGCCAAGCCCTGCAATCTGCAGCAGCCCACGTGCTCCCTGCTCTGCCCTGGACCCTGTTCGGCTCCTCTCTGATTTCCATGGTACCATGATCCCAGATGGAAAGCCACTTTAATCAGGAATTAAAGTGGGAAAAACTCTTCTACCTGATCAAAAAATAGTAAGTTTATCCAGCTTTTTTTTTTATTCTCAACAGTTATATTTATGTCTAAGGAAAAAGAATTCCTGCTCATGAAGTGATAAACTTCCCGCAACATCTGGAAGTAATATTATTTGGGATACAGCTCTCTTTTTCCAAAGAATCCAACTGAATTAGGACCCGATTTTATCTCTTTACTGTCAGATCAACTGCTGTTTTATTCAGAGGTTTTTCTTCTGAGCCTTGTTCTTAAGAAGAGATAATAATTGCGAAGTTAAATTCCATCAATATTCCTGGAAGCTACCCTGCAATATCAAACCCTGTGCATTCTAACTAATAAATATAATTGCTGGCACTATCCAAGCAGCCTACTTTGAAGATGAGATAGGTTATCAAAGTGAGTTCTTTTGCAATACAGAGACTAAACACAACCTAGTACAAATGGAGAAAAATGTTTGATTTTGAAAACTGCACAGACTTGCCAGGGGCTACTAGGACAGTCTAAAGTCTTGCCTATGTGGTGAAACTCTCTGGCAGGACATCTCTGGGACAGTTATCTCAGCACAGTCACACCTTTACCAAGATCCCTGTGTGTTTCCTGTTGGGATGTGAGTGCTGCTGGCTGTCACTGTGCAGGCAGCCCTGGAGCTGGAAGATGGCTCAAATAAAAACTGGCTGCTTAAGGAAGAGAAAATAACGCTGCTTGTGGTGGGCATCAAATGTACCCAGTGTTTGGCAGAGCTGAACTGGAAGCAAAGGCAGGCTGGTAAGCCTGTGATTCTTATTTTAGTCCCAAAACTCCCATGGGCTGTACAAGCAGCTGAAGTGCTTCTGTATGGGCAGGAAACATAAGCATCTTTCTGATGATTTTTAGTCCCTAATTGCCATCCTCTGGCCTTACTCCGTGCCAAGAAGTGGCACTGGAGCTCTAGTGAAGCAGCAACTGTGAGTGTAACTGCATCTGGAACAGTAGGTGTAGGATGAACACGGGATTCTTCAGTCTTGAGCTGGAGCACAGTGAAGTGAGGTGGAAATGTCTTCCTCCTCCTTGCTCTGCTCCTGCCCTTGGGATGTAGGATCAAAACTCGGTTGGGTGGGAGGATGGTGCATGGGATTTCTTAACCTACAGGCAACTCCTGAGGGCAGCTGCAGTCAGGAAGGAAACCCACAGCACTGCAGCTGGCTGTGCCCTGGGAGCCACCCCGGGTAGCCAGGGGAGACTGAAGGTGTGTGAACCACGGCCAGATTGCCCGACTCCAAAGCGCGAGGTCTGGGCATCCAGGCAGGACCTTCTTTTTTTTCCCAAATGACAGCAATTTGCAGTCATTCACCTGCGTGAGGAAGGAGCCGTGGTGCACCGGCTGCCAAGACTCTGCCCTGCTGCTGGGCAGAAGAGGAAATTCCCTGGGTTTGCCTTTCATCTCAGACAAGGACACGCCGTTTGAAGCGATCGCGCAAACCGCAGCTGGCACGGCCGGCGCGCACGCCGGGAGAGTTCAATAATTCAGCAAGCAAACCCAGAGCCAGCAGCAGACTTGGGCTCCAGCCAAGGCTCGGGACGTTGTCCTAGCATCAAAAAACGCCTCTGCTTGACAGCTTGAGATCTCTCTGCTTGGGAAAGCACCGTCTGCCAGGGGAAGCAGAAATCCTCAGCCCACGGGTTTCCTGCTGCTCCAGTGGAGGGAAGGGGCTCGTGTACTGATTCACACTCGTGTGGTGTGACCTTTCCCTATCTCAGCAGCGCAAAGGGACTCAGAAAGCTGGCTGGCTTTTGCCAAAATATTAGGAAATGCTGCCGTTTGCCCTAGTCCACACAGTAACCACCGTGGTTTTTATCTTTTTTCTCCCCTTTTCCCCTTGCTATTCTTATCCTTTGTTTCTTCGTTTCTTTCTTTTTTATTTTTTTTTCTCTCTTTAAATAAAGTGTATTTAGTGCTGGTGAAAGGTGCTGAATTGGCAGCCTCAAAGATGGGTGTCCCCCTACCCAGCCCAGGAGAGCCCTGGGGCTTTCTCTGGGCTTTGTCCACTTGGCACCACCCCTGTGTGGGACAGCTCACAGGTCCCCGGCTCCCCTGCCCTCTCCCACGCCTGCCTCTTGCTGTGCTGGTTGGGACACCCGTGGCTGAACATGACTCCAACCTCCCTTGGGTGCTGCTTGTCTCTCTGCCTTCATTTAGTGCCTAACCCAGCCCTGACCCCAAGTGCTTCAGTGCAGACTGATTGTCTCTTCCTTCGTGCTCTCTTTTATCTGCTTTACTAAAGTGCAAACAAACACAGCTGAGTCACCCTGGGTGCTGCAGCCAGCTCACACCCAGGGGCCCAGAGAGGCAAGTGGGACACCAAACCCTTAACTTGCCCACTGGCCCCAAGCCAGGCTTTCAAGTCACACCCTAGAGGTGTTTGGCACATTCTCCCCTACCCCAAACACCAACACAAACGTGTGCTACCACTTGGCCAAAGGGAAACCCCTTTGCTCACCCATTCCCACCTCCCTCCCCCCTTTCCCCATCCCCACCAAGCTGTGCCAGCCTCTGCCAGGTAGCAGAGAGGGGCAAAGCAGCCTGCTCCATCTTCCCATCCACATTAAAGGTAAATGCAGCACCAAAATAGATACAAAAATAGAGTTTTGGGTCCATTGGCCCAGCTTCACTATTAATATTACTGCTATGAAATGTCTGAAAATAAGAGCTGCTCTCTCTATACACACCTTCCCCCCCCTTACTGACAGTATTGCCACGTGCCCGGTCCTGTCACAACAAGGCAAGAAGATGCCTGTTTTCTCTATATTTTAAATACAATCACTTCCATCCCCCCATTGCAAACAAACATGGCAGAAAGGGGTTTGGAAAAAAAAAACCAAAACCAACCAAAACAAATGAAAGAAACCCTATTTTAAAAACCCTTCATAATTTCTAGCATTCTGAATAGCATTTCTGCCTCCTGGGACTTGAATCCTGCCAGGTTGTTTGAAAGGACAGAAGCTACCTGTGATTTCTGATGGAGGCCCTGATGTCCTTCCTGTGTTTCCTTTGGAAGCTCTCTGATGGGGATGAGAGAGATAATGTATTTGCTTTCCTCTATGCAAAAGTCACAAAGTGTTTGATCGGCAAACCCATGACTAAAAAAAGTAAATATATAAAATAAACAACAACCCACAGCCTCTTTCTTAAGTTTCCCCATCTATCTAGTTTTCAAAGTGCAAAACCTAGAGAAGCATAGAATTATTTTCTTGAGGTGTTTTTCCCTTTTGTTAGGGCTTTTTTCCCCCACGTGCTTGACTGGTATGGCCTTTCTACAGCAAAAGTCAGATAAAGCATAATTGCAGTCGTTTCTGCACATGGAATTATGAATCATTCCAGTGACTTGAGAATCTAAGCTGTTAATAGGCTAAAAAAAGGATTTTTTTTTGTTCATCTTCTTTTTTTTTTTTGATTGTTTTCTTTTTGCATTATAATTAAGCATGAATATATATTACTATATTACACTGCTTGGATTGCTGGAGCAATCCAAACCTTCCTATGCTGTAAAACTAACCCCCACCCTGCACTCCCCAGATCAAGAGTTTCTTTTCTCCTCCCTGTGCCAGTTGTCCTCAGTTCACATGATTAAAAGTCCCTCCCAGCCCCCCTCCCCCTTTTTTTTTTTTTTTTAGTAGATATTGCCGCATTCTTAAATTCATGCATTGCTGCATTGCTATTGCACATATATAAAGGATCGCTCGCTCCCTCCCGGCCGCTCCCCTCCCCTCACTGGTTGTGCACGTCCTCTCTGCGGACGATCTTGTAGATGATCCAGTAGAAAATGTTGAAGATGAGGAATGCCATGGGGAAGCCGATGCGGGAGATCTTATCGATCTTCTTGGCTCGCTGGATGAAGAGCTTCCGCATCTCCTCGGGCGAGCGGGACGGCGGCGGCACTGGGTTGGCCGTGTTGTTGTTGTTGGCACCCTTGACAGAGATGCCGTCCTTGGCTTGTAGGCAAGCTGGTCCCATCCCGTAGGCAGTGAAGTTGAACCTGCCCTCACCGGCTTCATCCTCCTGAAACAGATTCAGCATGGGACTCTACTTAAAATGAGATATAGACAGTGCACCCTCGCTATAAGGCTCTCCGCTGACAGGTTCCTGCTCTGCTCGGGAAAGATGCTCCCACCATGCCCTGACCTCAGCACCCTTGGACAAACCCCCTGCTCTTGGGAGTTCAGCCTTATAGAGGGGTGCCAGCTGTGTGATGCACAGATGCAAATCAGGGGATCCAGGCACCCCGTGGAGAACAGGACTGACTTCCACCCTGTTGAGCTCTTTGACATATTGAAGGGTTTATGGTACTGCTTTAATTTTTCCAATTGCATCCCCTGTTTTGCTTCTGCCTCTCCCTCCCCCCCCCATCAGCACCTTCTTTGCTTTGCCTGTGCAGTTGCAGCTTGCCCAGAAGGAGCGGGCTCCATGTAACTCACGTAGTTGAAGCTACAGTGTGAGACTTCCTACAGAGTTACATGGATGTGCAGGAGCCAAGACCTGACCAGGAAAAGAGCTCTGCAGCCAGCGTGCAACCAGCCCTCTGCTTGCCTGCCCACAGGACCCCTCCAGCCCCACAGCCCTTCCCACAAGCCAACTTTTAGGTGAGGAACAGAGGTGCCCTTCTGTGGGCTGATGTTAAGACATGGCTGTTTGTGGTAATGCCAATTATTGAGAAAAAATTAATTTATTTTCCAATTTAAAGGCGAATGTCATTGCTGGGGTTTTTTTGGTGAAAATCTTGCTGGTGTCTCAGAATGATTTAGCCCTACTTTATTGAACACAGGGATGTAACCTTTACAGTCCCTGTGTGCCAGGACCTACGTCTCCCCATGTGCCCCAGTAAATACAGACAGCATAATGGGTTTGGAGAGAGCTGTCTATCTGATCTCCCTAATCTAATCCAGAGGGAAGAAGTTAAGAGGTGGCTCAAAAATGGAAAGGGCCAAGTGAAACCTGGCAACAGGTTGATTTGTTTTGTTGGGGGTTTTTTAGAGAGGAAGAAAGACTCCTAAAGATGAGGATAAGCTAGCACCTTGCATCTAACTGGCAAAAGTCAGAAACAGATTTTTCTGGATTCCCTGGTATTAATGCCAGACCATGGCACTGTGTCTGGCACACCGAGCTGTGAAGAATAGCCAGTAGGTTTTGATGCAGACCTAATAAGTATGGGCATGGGCTTGTCCTCTCCCCAGCTGCCTCCACCAGCATGGACCACTACAACATCTCACTTGTTTTTAGCCTGGCATGTCATGCCTAAACCAGGCACAGCTACCCAGACAAGTCAGGACATCAGGACAGAGCAATTAGGCTCTTTGGCAGCTGCACTAACCCATTTGCATATTAGCAGTCAGATTTTAGTTTTCTGATGAGCCTGCAAACCTTGTTCATTTCGAATTTGCAAGTGTTTTTGTTTATGCTTTGTTCCAATTAAATTGCTGTGAGATTGGGCAGGGAGTGTACTAGCAGCCTTGTGTTCAGTGGAACAGCTCTGGCAAATATCTCTTTAACTCGTCTGTGTATTAGTGGCTTTTTTTCTCTTTATTGTTTTATCAACAGACTGATCTGCATACAACAGCACAGATCCAGGGACAGGATGCCTGAATCCAGATGAAGAGATAAAGCAGTATGAGGCACCCACGTGGGTGGGTTTAGCTTTGGCTCAATTCAACAGGCTGCACCTTCTGAACCAAAACTATCCCCACTGATTTTGGGATGGTCAGACAAAGTCAATGGGTGCTGATGGTCTCATCTGTTACTTCTTTTCCCTTGCATTTGTCCCACATTTTTCCTCCCTGGACCTGACTGTGTTGGGCACAAGTGAACAATTATGTCCTGTTTTACATATCGGATGACCGAGGCAGAGAGAGGAAAACCTACAACAATGCAGGGATTCCTGCTCCTCAGCCCTCAGTTCCTCCTGGAATGGGGGCAGTTCTCCAAGCATACACTGTGAACTACTACAGGACAAGTTAGACCTTGGGAAAGACTTTTAAAGACTGAGACAGTGAAGCGATGAAATGGGGGGAGGTCTCTGCATGGGATGGATCGTGGAGGACTCTTTAAAATAGAGGGTAGACAAATTTACCTACGAGGTATAAAAAATATTCCGTGTTACCTACGAGGAATATTTAAGGCAGACCTTGGTGGTCACCTAGGGGCTCACTTAAGATTTTCATCAGCAAAATTTTCTTTGTTTTTTTCTTTCCTAGCAAACGTACTGGTTTTTAATGATAACCTCAGGACAGCCTCTCAGGCTGAAAATTCGCTAACGCCTTCCTGATTCTACCAGTTAATTAAGGACAATTTTTAAGTTTTTGGCCTTTGATCACAGCCACCTTTGTGTTTCTTTCCAGTGTGTTCTGTGAGGTGAAGTCTTTGCTGTGGCACCTCAGCCTAAAAGCCAGTAGAGCCCCAGCTGCAGGAGATGCATGTCATTGCAATGCACGCTCAGATTGGCATCAGCCATGGCAGGTAAGCATGGAGCGAGGCTAAGGCTGAGAATAAAGCTATTTCCTTCCAAGAGGAATTTGCAGTCAGTCTGAGAAGCAGATGCTTTTGAACACGGAGATGACAGAGACAAAAGAGGTGTCACTTACCTCCAGGCTAAAGCAGGCTGTCTTGTTGGGGGGATGCTGTTCTCTGACAGACATCCCTCACACCTCCCTGCCTGCCTCCCCCCAGCCCTGGCTGCAGCTTCTGAAGAGGAGAACTCAACCAGAACATTGCTGTGTGAATTGTTCTGTTGTGAACAACTCTTTTGGCTTAGACCACTTGGCTGGCTAACAAAACCCAGCCTGCTGGACCCCTGGGGTCAGCAAGCTGTTAGAACAGACACAATTCACTGAGGTAACCCTGGTTTTTGATGTGTGAGCCCCCCTAACATCTGATCACATACTGAGGACTTCCCTGGGAGCTCATGGATTGGTTCAGTTGACCATGATATTCTGCTGGGAGAGATTTCAGCTGTGTCCTTCATGCTTTATGTATTACCTTATGATGCCTCCTCTTCCTTCTGAACCTGAGCAGCTCTTTGTGCTGCCGAGACACGAAGTTGACAGCAGCATATTCTAGAAGTGCAGAGAACACAAACAGCAAGCACACAGCCATCCAGATGTCTATGGCCTTCACGTAGGACACCTGGGAGTCAGAAAAAGAGACTGAGATGGGATGGCTTTTTCACCCAAATGCCTTTTTGTTGCCATTTTACATGTTACTCTTAAGGTCTTTGGAAGGAGTTGACCAAGCCATGACAAGGTTGACATCTGCTTTTGGATATCAGAATCTAGTTCATTTAACATGAACATATTATCAGTTCACTGAAACTGCTCCTGGTCTCTAAAGCAGCAATAATTCTACAGTTTTTAATTTATCCGGGTTTTGATTGTGCCTTTTTATATGCAAGGAAATTAGTAATCCAATCTGATCATACTGGAGGTCCTTCATAAAGGAAATTCAGTACTATTATAAAAGTATGATGGTTAACTGGCTAAAAAGCTAAAATGTACAGGGCATATCCATGTGGCTTGTTGCAGGGGTTTGTATGGTACAGTGCTCCTGGGAGCTGTGGTGAGTGTTGAATCTTGAGGGGAAGTTTTACTGCTAGTCATAGAGAATCTAGAACTTTTCAGGATGGGATTGGAATTTTTTCTGTTTTCCCTTATGATGGAATAGTGCAATGGCAGCAGAATGCCTCTTGTGTTGAGCAGGAGGATCTGTGTGGTGATTTACTTATATGCTATCCCCAGAAGGTGCATGTTTTGCCCCTGGTGAAGATAAGTTTGTTCCCTACCTTGGGCAGTGATGCTCTGGAACCAGAGCTCTGTGTGGTCATAGTGAGCACTGTGGTGATCCCCAGGCCAACACGAGCTGGTGCAGCATCCATGTTGATCCAGAACGAGATCCAGGACAGAATGACAATAAGGAGGCTGGGGATGTACATCTGGATCAAGTAATAGCCCATCTGCCTCTCCAGGTGGAAACGAGCTTCTATACAGGTGAACTTGCCTGAGGAGGACAGGAGATACATGGAAAATTACTGGTAAGGCACAGTGAGCCTCCTGTTTTCAGCCAATGTCTGAGGATTTTCCTTGCATTGCTTAGAACCAGAGTCTTGTTAGAAGAGGAAATGAACAGCTGTTGCCCAGTTCTGCAAGGGCATGCAGTGACAGGACGAAGGAAAATGGCTTCAAACTGAAAGAGAGAAGGTTTAGATTAGATATTAGGAAGAAATTCTTCCCTGTGAGGGTGGTGAGGCCCTGGCACAGGTTGCCCAGAGAAGCTGTGGCTGCCCCATTGCTGGAATTGTTCAAAGCCAGGTTGGATGAGGCTTGGAGCAACCTGGGCTAGTGGAAGGTGTCTCTGCTGGGGAGTTGGAACTGGATGATCTTTAAGGTCCCTTCCAACTCCAAACATTCTGTGATTCTCTGAACATCAACATAGCAAGGAAAGCTCTTGGCAGTATGTCCTTTGTCACTTAAATTTCAAAGACAAAAGAAGATTCTGGGAGGGAAAGTCCAGACCAAACACCCTTGAATTGATACAGATGTTACTGGGGACAAGAGGATTTCTCACATTTGTGTCCATTAGCTTTTCACTAGCTATATATGTGTACATTTACTGGCAAAATACCTATGTGTATTTGTATGTCTGTTGTCCCTAGATGTGCAGGACAAGGCTTGTATCAGCTGAGTGACATCACACACAGCAAGAGCAAATGCACAATCTTGACTTCCTCTCTACTGAACCCAGCAGATAAGGGTAAACAGCACTGACCTGTGTTGTAGTGCTTTGTGCAGTATCTCAAGTCTTTTTCTTCTTTGAGGATAAACTGAGGCAATGTCAGCCCATCAGCAACTTGCACCGCTCCTTTTTCTTGCCACTCAAATATGAGATCATTCATTGTGTAGCCAACTGTTGAGAGGAGGGGACAAATACCATGTGAAACACATTAAATACTGATCTGGAAAGGGACAGTGTTGCAGAAGAGATCTATGTTTGGAGGCAGGGGTGTGTCCTGGCCTTCCTTGGCAATGCTGCCATGAATGGGATTTGGGTTGAGGCAAAATTGCTTGTGCAAGGTGATGAGCTGCAGTGGAGCTGCAATGGTTTGCAATGAATTGTCTGTAATAAATCACATTTTTTCTTGAATTGGGCTTTGTTGAATTTGTTTTCTACTTTTTCCAACTTGACCTCTTTCTCTGGAAGAAGCTCCTCATCTTTCCCTCCTTTGGTATAAGCAACATGTACAAGGGGCAGATGTTCATCCAGAGACACAAAATGCAGCTGAAAGCACTTTCACCTCTCTCCTCCAAAGTTAAAGGCCAGTGTAAATACAAGCAAGCCAGGGCTCCTTGCATGGGATCTTTTAAGGTTTGGCTTCTCTAGAAAATGTCACATGTGCTGAATGAATGGAAAATCCTGAGCAAGAGGTTCTTGAACAAGACTCCAGTGAAGGCTGGGCTGGGAATGGGTTGCACCTGGGAAAGGAGATGGCAGGGGAGAGGGAAAACAGGTTGTCTCCTCTCTGAAATGGGGATGTGCACAGGACTCACAGCTTTCTAACTGCATGATGCACGTCTGTACGTCCATGGGGAAGTTCTTCAGGTCCATGGGGCAGGCCAGAGTCAGTGTGATCCTGAGGAGAGAAGAGAGCACAAGGGAATGCCAAACAGTTTGTGGTACTGCTGAGGAGTGAACCCCCTCAGACATCCAGTGCTGCAAACAGGCTGGGACCTTGCCCGAGACACACTGCTGTGCTGGGGGAATGATTGATCATTCGCCACTTCCCTGCCTGTCATCTCACACGTGGTGTTGGAAAGCATCAGAAATGCTGAACATTTGGGTCTGTGATATGATTCCCAGCAGAGTCGCCTGCTGCAGATGGTGTTTCATTGCAATGTTGTTTCAGACTGTGCAGAACAAAGAGTTCCCACACCAAACAGTTCTGCTGCTTCGGTTTTCAGTTCTTGCCTCAAGTTCACAACAGTCTGGATTAGCAGCCCAAGCCCAATATATGGGCCCCCAGATACATTTGTAAAGACTGGGACTGTTTGTAAATGTCTGAATAGAACATTTGTGTCCTAAAAAAAACCCAAACCAAACAAAAAAACCCAACCAAAAAGAAATTTGATCAAGATCATATGCTTCTGTGGGGGGAAAGAGAGACTTCAGTGGGATTTTGTGCAGGGAAAATGCCCTGTGCTAAGTCAATATGAACTTCTGTATCTTCCTGAATTCCTGCTGAGCCCTTTGAGACCTCTACTTCTGTCTTCATTTTCCACTAGGTGAAGGCTGCATTTTCTGTGGTATATTGCTGTGCTGCCCTGTACCATGATCTAGGCTTAAAATGTTTCTTTGGTTCAACAAGCTGATACTGAATGATTTGCTTCAGATAGTTAGACTTGTGTTATTTGGTTTGATAATGTTGAAAATGCTGTTCCCTGAAGTGTTTAGGGTTTTCAGCATTTTGCCTTGATGTAGAAATAGCAGAACTACCCAGGGGACAGAAATTGAATTTTTCTATCATCAGACCTACAAGAAACTTATCAGAAGGGAAAGATACTTTAATTTAAAACCTTATGGTGGAAGAAATTCTCTGCTTTAGAGGCATGTTGGGACAGAAGATGTGACAAAGTCCATCTTCTTGCAAATGCCTTGCCTAGAGTTTGATTATTGCAAATACCAGTAGCCAAGAGCCAGTTAGAGAATGACAGAGCACTTAAGAGAGGTCTTTTTTTTTTTTTTTAAAGGGAAAGACTATTTCTCCTTTTGGAAAATTTGCATTTACATTGTGCTCTTTCTTTTTCATTTTCACAGGAAAATTTACATATAAAGAAACCTATATTTTCATTTGGAGATGAGTATGATAGCAAAGTGATTTTTTTTTAAACAAGAACTGAAGCTGTTTTCAAGTTTTTGCCTTGGAAACAGTGATCAATTCAGCCATGTTCCCTGCTGAGTCATTGCTCTGTTTTGCAGAGCAAACCCTAAGGCTGGGGTGACCCATATTTCCTCTCTGTACTCCTGCAGACCCACGTGGAACAGGACTCTGTGCCATGCTCACTGCCAGGTTGCTGGTGGCAGTTTTACTCCCTGCCTGGTTTTACCAATTAAGAAATGTGAGGTTTCCATATTCAGCCAACACACATGGCAATTCTCTTATTGTTTTGGCCATCAGGGAGCTGGTCTTTGGGCTGGAACCACCTTGATGTTTGATGGAGGTTGTCTAAATTGCAGCATTAAGGTGTTTATTTTCCATTTTACAGCTCCACGGTGCTTTTTTTCCCCCATGGCTGCCACTGGGAGCTGCAGTGTGAGATGGGGTGTGTGAACTGTAGGCAAATTTACATTACACATGAGGTGAAAAAGTCTTCAATATAGAGTTAAACTTTCTTGAAGTTTGATCTTAGTTTCACTGGTTTCAAATAAAGAGTGGATGGGGTTGGAAGTGAAGGTGGGGGATCAGATGGATTTCCTGCAGGAAATTCAGTGCAATTAGTTCAGCTCCACTGATGGGTTCTTGGGTCTAGTGATAAAGGGATAACTGCAAAAAGTTAAGTTGAGACAAAGCTATGGAGCCCTTCTTAGCATTGTCTCTATTTTATTTTTTTTTGTCAGGAAATGCTGCAGCTTTGAAAGCAGAGTTTTCATGAGCTTCTACTAGTTTTCACAGAGTACAGCTGGTTTTAGGCTTGTGATAGTATAAAATATCTCAAGTAATTTTACATTAGGGATGTTATGGAATCTACTAGAGAGGACCCTAAGTTCTTGGACTGGGAAATGTAAAGATCAGCTAAATTCCTTCCCAGACCAACCCTCTGTCTCAATATGCTTTGGCAGAGGTGCCTTCCCAACACATTGCTAATGGTGTGACCTCCCACCTTAAAAAACCCTAAACTTCTTTTTTTCCATCATCATGCTCTAGGCTTGAACAGTGGGAGTTCAGCTCCATCCTCCCCTACCTTTGTGGGACTCTTCCCATGGAGTCACCTCACCTGATGCTGTAGAGGACGTTGCCGTTTCGGGAGATCCTCAGCAACTTGTTGTCTGTGGTAATCTCATGGAAGTGGGCCCCTTTCTCATTAGCAAAGAACAGGTCAGGTTTCCAGATGGAGTCCAGCATGGAGGGGTCCAGGTCCAGGGAGTCGTCGGGGTACTCGTTGTACGCCAGCCGTGGGTCGTTCCACTGCTGTCGCAGGAAGATGTTCACCCTGTAATCCTGCACGGCGTGAACAGAGAAACACAGTCAGTGCTCAGAGCAGGCTGAAAGTGCTGAGAACTGGGGAGCACCTATTAAAATAGTTCTCAAAACCAATCCATGTCCAGGCCTAGCTATGCCAAGCGTTTTTGGCATTATTTCCCAAGGAACTCTTATCAATTTTTAGCTTTGTAGCTTACGGCTATTTCATAGCATGAGCAGCTGCCTGTCCTTGCAACCCTCTGTTACAGCAATTGTCAGCTGTGTGTGAAGTGTCAGGACCTCTCGTCTGGACCCTGGGGCTGGAGAGGAGATGTGCACTTGTGGAGGTCACAACTGCCCCTGTCAGCAGGATGATGTTGCAGAGGATTAAGAGGGAGGGGAAACTGAAGCCAGCTTCCTTTCAGTGCTGAACCTTATTGTGACTATCCATGGTTTCCCCGGACTTGGGAAAGGAAAAGGCACTGTGAGACAGGCAGTCCATGGAAGGGAAATTCCTGTGTGTCCAATAATATGAGGGTAACTCAGACGAACTGACGGGAGCAGCTGCCTTTGGTGAGAGTACGTGAACATGAGAAAGATGTGCCTGAAGTCTGCTCTCCTAATGCTCAGTGAGCGTTCTGGGTTCCCCTCTCTAATTTCAAAATGCCATAAATGCTTCAGATTTTATAGGATGGTCATTTTCTTTAATTGTAACTAGTCCCTCATCACTATGCAAAATTATACCTGCTTCATAACCACAAGTCTTACAGCTCCCCTAAGTTCCCCAGGCCAAGGCTGGTTGCTGAGGCTGAGCTCAGACCCTCTCCTGGACAATTAAAGGCAGTTTCTGTTCTCCCTGTCTGACCAATAACTTCCCTGGGTGACCTGCGTGCCCCTTTTCTTCTGACTTTCACATGAGAAAGTGAGCCAACAAATTGAAATGGGGAGAGGATGTGCCAGCTATCAGGAGAGGGATAAAAGCTCCATGTCCATAAATTAATTGACATTTTCTAAGTATAGAGGCAGACTGAGTCTGAAGAACAGTCTGTAATAAACCCATTTCACTGCCCTGGCCCAAAAGAATAGTTGCTCTCATGATTAAGGGTTTCTTGGGTGCCTTTCTAGTTCTAATGTACTTTGAAGACTTTTATTAAGAGGCAATTAATGGAAGTTGTGTCTGATGTGCTTGCTGGTATCTATTACCTGCTTCAGGCATTTGGTGAGAGAATCTCCCTGACTCTGCCAGTGTGCCTGTTCTTTCCATCTGGAGAACACAAAGCTCTGGAGTTGGAGGGTGCATGTGTAGGAGAGTCTTTCTGATGTTGCTCACCTGACTATGAACCTACAGCCTCTTGTCCAGGAGGACACAACTCTTGTGTGTCCAGTCACACTGGAGGGTTGGGAGAGGATTGTGTTGGATGCCTTGTGTTTTGGATGAGGCAGTTCATAGCCAAGCACATGGTCTAGAATCTGTTTCAGGCCACTTAGTGCCATCTGCGTCCTCAGAGCACAGAAGCTGCTAATGACATTAACGATTGTGACAACAGCAAATGAACCAAGCACTTGACGCTAAAAGGAGCAGACCTCTGAACATGAAAAAGACTTGCAACACTCTTTCTTTCTGCTGATATCCCAAATGTCACCTTCACAAGTCCTAGCGCATCCCTCTGACTTAATTATTCATCTCTGTCGACCCTGGATAATGTGTCTTGAGAAAATGTGAATAGCTGAGGACAGCTGAGAGCCAGGGTCTCAGTGCAGGACCAGCCAATGACTCAAGCCTGGAAGGGGAAAGTAACCCTGAATTTCCATTTTCCATGGCACACAGCAGCTCCCAGAACAACGTGTATGTTTTCAATTCTCCCTTTTCTATGTGTAAAGATCTGCAGCCATTGCAGTCAGGGGAAATCAATGTCACTGACCTAATAGGTAGAAAGCAAAAGGTTGTTTTGCTTATTCAGCTACAAATAAGGTAGATGCGAGCAGGTCAGCTCCAGTTTGGGACTTATGTCATGTACAACACAAATTAAACTCATGTTTGGAAGAAACTTCAGCGGTAGCTGCCCAGAAGTGTGCTCAGCCTGATGGAGTGGTGGAAGGCGGGGGGGAATGGAGCCAATCTCCCTGCGACAGTCTGTGTTACTGTGGATAAGCTTTGTTGCTGGAGTAAATTCACTGAATCAGCTTCAAAACTTGCCAAAAGGTAATGAAAGGGTGAGACGAGGTGTAGTGTGGTTTATGTTGCCACCACAGCAGGCATGAGAGACCACAGGCAGAATGACAGCCACAGTCTTTGTCACCATGATGAGGTATCTTAATTAAATGCCATGGGCCAAATGAAAATTAACTTCTTACAGTAGATGGCTATGAGAAGGTCCCTTCTAACTCATCTCCAGAGTTAAGGTGTCCTGTACTCATGTCCTATGTGGAAACAGTGCAGGGCCATGTAGTGAATGTGTGGTGTCAGAGCCTGCACCACCTCCCTCCAGGGGATGAGCAGCAGTGTAGTAACTCAGGGTTGTGCTACTCTGTGCTCCTCCTTTGGAGACAAGTGTTTACAGTGGATATTTGTTGTTTTGGAATACAGATAACCAAGCATTTATGTATATATATCATCTATATGATATTAAAAAAGGCAATGACAAAGAAATATAATACATGGGCTGAATGCAATTCTCTGGCTTTGCCATTTTATGGCATTAATATTTCACCTCTGTGTGTGATTTTATGAAGGTCTTCCTATTCAGTGAGTTCACTTCACAGTCCTGGCCTGGCCACTGAGAATGTTGTTTTCTCACAGATGCCTTTTCCCTTGTGTCAAACAGCTGCATCACACTGGGGTATGGAAGGTTCTGAGCAGCCTTTTAGGTTCCTTGTGTCCAGCCTTATTTGAACATAAATGTAACACCAAGCACTGTGGCTGCAAACTGGACATGACAGTGCCTGAGGAGCCAGCAGAAGGCATGGAAAGCAATTGGGGTATGTCTGTGGCTGTGACACAGCTAAGAGAAGAGTTACGGAACTCTGCACCAGCTAAAGGACCCTGTGTGCTGAAAGCTTTGTCCTGGGCACTGCAGTGAAGCTGAGGGGTGATGAGCCAAACAACACTCATTTGCTGGCTACCTTGAGATATGCAGCATTTCTCCTGGATGCTACTGTATGAGATCTTAATTAGCATCACCAAGACGTCCACAGTTATTCCTAAATGATGGACACAATGGACCAATTTATGATGTGAACTTTCAAGCAAAGGAAAAAGAGGTTTGACTGGGGCTGCAAACTCAGCCAAAAAAAAAAAAAAAAATCTCTTTCTCCATATCCTTCTTTCGACTGGAGTTCCTCATTTGTGTGCCAATCACATCCAGGCATTGATTATCTTGTGCAGCCTGCTCCTCTGGCTGTCTTGGGAGTGGGGAGCAGCAGCTCTGTGCAGTGAAGGCATTCAGGAGCTTTGCGATTTGGCACAAAAGGCATTTTACTCCCAAGGGGGAAAAGACACAAGGCAGGGTGAAAAAAAAAAACTGAAGTGATCAAAGTAGTTCAATTTGATAATGCTGAAATGAAATTCTGCTTAGTGACCTCGCAAGGAGACAAGGAAACAGAAGATCATTTGAGACCTTTCCTTCCCAAGATCCCACAGCCCTGGCATCTGCTGCTGAAAGCAGTGACAGGCTGGAGGCAGCACTGTGAGGAAGGGATGGAGGCTGTCAGGAAACTCAGTAGTTTTCAGCCCCTGACTCAAGGATTCTGTCAGAGCAGCCTCTGCACTGAGCAGTTTTGGTGAGAGGCTTCCCTTTGATAAATTTACATTTTGCTAATGGAACAATTAGGGTGGAGACTGAACTCCCTCAGAAGGGGATTCTGTGATCCCACCTGGGCAGAGCATGAGGGGCTTTAGTAGCATCGAGTTCATTCTCTAGAAAGGGAACGAGCAAACACCTTTAAGGGTACCTGCCTTGCAAAAGAAGCACTACTGCTGTCCACAAAAACAATGAGCACACCAGGAGCTGCCCTTGAAAGGGTTAATATGGCTAATAAGGTTAATAACCTCCTTACTTTATCAGAGCTGTAGCAAAGCAGCCAAATTGAAGCCCGGTGTGAAACCACACCTAAGCCAAAGGGAGGAGGTGCCCCTGAGGAGGAAGTCAGAAGAGGGCAGTGCCTGGTGGGGGGTGGGAGCAGTACCCTGGTGCTTAATAGGTGTGGGGGTTTTTTGTGCTGAAACCCAAAGCAGAAAGGTTTTTTGTCTTCCTACAAAAGGAGGAGAAAGTTTATCTCTGTGAGCCAAGGATGGAGCTGCTGGTGGTGAGTGATTTGTATCCAGCATCCTGAATTTCAAGTGTGTTTAGTTGTGAGGTCTTGTTCTTCAGCTCGAGGGTTTTTTGTGTCCTTGTATTTGAGTTGCATGGTCCCATTTCATGGCTTCTTTTTTTTTCCTCCCCTCCCTTCTTTATTCAATGCAAAGACAAACTCCAGCCACACATAGCTGAAACACTGCAGCTCCAACAGTGAAATGGCAGCAGGCTGTGAGTGGTTGTGAAAACCTTTTCATTTTGTGCTGCATGACTTGTTATGTGCTTATCATCTCTGTGGGACTGATGGTTGGGTTTAAGAATGACTGACTGCAGAAAACTTTGCTCAAAACCCAACCTTTGCTGCAGGCTTTCTGCATTGATACTCACATCTTTTGCTGATCTTGGGGTGAGTGGGGCCGGTATTAAATGTGTGACCCATACACTCTATCAGACATATCTGCTGCACTGTGGCTTGTGAGGCTGGAATGAATTGCTTGGTTTGCTTTGCAGGATGCTTTATTTTCTTGTTGGAAATCTCATGTACAGTTGCCTCTGAGCACGTACTTAAAACTTGGACAGTTGCAGCCTCCAGCTTCTCCTGTCCTTAGGAGGTTCTGGGAGCCTGATTGTGGCTATGTTGCAGCTGGCTGGAAGGTCACATTAGGTTTGCTCTTTTCAGATGAGATAACTGTGGCATGAAAGCAGCAAAAATAAATTTGCATATATATGCTGTGTCTAGGGGAGCCTGCACTGACTGTTTAGTGATTTACTTTCTTTTTCACTCTCTAGTTTGCTGCAGGTTGGTCCTTTTTAAAACATGGGACTGGATCTTGAGTCCAGCTTGAACTCTAGGTGATGATGTCAAAAAATATTCCTCCTTTTCCATCTGCATTCACTGTGTACACAATGCTCCCAACTGCCTGAGTCAGTGAGAGGACCATAAAATTGGAGCTTCCATTGAAAGAGAGAGCCAAGGTTATCACTTAATTTCAAGTTTGCTGTTATAGTAGGGAATTTGTTAATTAAATGCTCAGATAATCCTACCAGTTGTCTCATGCTACAAGAAAAAGCCAGAACTGGTGCAGTTTATTCACTTAAAACCAAGACCTCTTCCTGAGATGACTGACATCTGTTTGTTTTGAATGAGGAATTTGTATGTCTGCAATAGATTTCATGGTCTGGTATGACTTGGGGGGGATTTGTTTATACTTTTGAAGAGCAAAAAGGGATTTAACATCTTGCGATTGAGGGTTGTTTGGTGTTTTTAATAAAAATAGTTGGAAAGAGTGGATGCATCTTTGCACTTGTCCTCGGGAATCCCTTGCTGTTGGATGCACTATTGCAGTAATGCTTTAGGACAGGAGTCTGCACTTATCTGGCTGTTGTGGTTGGTCATATCTTTCCCCTGGAAGCGCTGGTTGGGTTCACAGGGATGTGTTCCTAGTCACAGGTTCCCTTGTCCTCAGAGCTCATGGCAGGTGAGGCTGATGGATATAAGCTATGAGCTGCAATCTAACATAAATGTCCAATCAATTATGTGCACCACTAGAGGCTTTTATGTTGAGTCTCCAGTTCTCCAGGATTCTTAAAGGAGTTACTTCCCCTCTCTAAGTCAGGTCTGCTTTAGGAGTTGCGTTTGCTGGATGACTTTTCCTCCTTTTTTTTTTTTTTTTTAAATTTCCCTTAACCTTACAGCAGTTTTCAGATCTCCATGTCTTGCCTTGTTTCTCTTGAACCTTTCTGGGGCTTTCTGCCCACTCAGTGGAGTCTGTGCTTTCTCTTGGCCCCAACTCATTTTCCTTCCTCCTGAAGTTTGTAGACTCAAGTGGCTGCATCAAATACCTGGTTTGTTCTATTTTTCTGTATTTTCACCTCTTCCTCTACCTTCCATCATGCCTTAAGCTGTGAGTGAGCACTGACCTCCAGTTTCTCTAATCCTCTGCATGGTGACCTCATAGTTTACACTGCTTTGTGATATTCAGGCATTATAAACTAAAAGGGTAGCAGTGGTATTTTCTATAGGACGTAACAGCCCACTAAGGAGATGTTTGAAAGCCTTCTCCAACTGCACCTGTGGTATCCATAAAAACCTATGACTTCTCTTGCAGGTAGTAGTGCAACAGTTAAATATAAGCTGGCATAATACTCAGACCTGAACCTGACCAGGCCTAATGATGGGAGTTTAAACCATAATGTTCTTTCTCTTTTTGGCCAGTGAAGCAGCTGGGGGAGTTTTGTCATCATCAGTCACAGGGGTCAATGTTAGACTACAGCTTTCTTTATGGTAAAACATTGATTTGCCCTCCTCTCTCTTCTGCAAACTTCCACCCCTCCTCTCCTTCCCCTGGTACTTGACCACAAGTGCCACTTGTTTGAATTCAAAGTAGCCAAGTCTGTCCCAAAATCCCTTCACAACAGGACCGTCTGTTGTTCCCAGAAACTGCACTGGGGAGCTGACACTGCCTGTCTGACCTGCTGCATCCTCAAACAGCAGGGAGGGGACTGGCTTCTCTGCAGAGTAAGTCCCAGGTTATGAATCCCAAAGACCTCTCTAGCTTGCAGAGATCTCCTTTTTAAATGTTTCAGTACCTGTGTTGCTTGTGTTCTGGTTGGTGTTTACAAGCAGAATTGCTGTTCCCCAAGAAGTGCATTATCCCAGGCTGTGTCAGCCTGACATCTGGACTAGCTTGTCAGAGCTGCCTTGGATATTTCTAGACAAAGCAATGTGCCCAGAGGGTGTTCTTGGGTTCCCATGGGAATTTTTTTTTCCTATGGAAGACAGACTATGAAATGAGTGGCATCTGGAGAGGATAGCAAGTCCCTGCAGCCTGTCTTGGAGGTGAATTGCATCTCTGGCTCTCTCTCATGCTAGTCTATGCTAATTTTATGGAGCATCCTGCTTACAGGGATCATGTGGCATCTTTGTATGCCTGCTCCAGTGCATCTCACAATGTAGGACATATGCACTGAAAAACATGTCAATGGAATGTGCTCTGTACATCCCACAAGGATCCTTTGTGGGCCTGCCCTGCTCCCTTGCACTCTGGATTGTCTCTGCTGGTTGTGTAGGAGCACTATTTCTTGCCTGTAAGGCCGAAGGAGGTATCCAATAAAATAGTAAATTAGCAGCAGATGTGTGTTTCAGTTCTAGTTCTTCCTCTATTGCTTTATATACAAATGAATCCACGATACACTTCTTGCCTATGAACTCTGATAAATTCTGCAATCCAAGCAGGAAATCTATTTCCTTGTGCTTGGACAGAATAACAGCTTTTTTTTTTTTTTTTCTTTTAACCCTATTACCAGAACTGAAGTACCCCCAATGCAAACACTTCCAGCAGAATGGTATAGTGTCAGAAGAGACTTATAACCCCAGGTGAATGGCTGTGGATCTCCTCTGACAGTGGTGTGCATGCCAAGTAATTTGTTCAAGTCAAGGGGTGTGATCTATATGTAAAGCCTATAAACTCCTGCCTGAATGCACAAAGTGCCTGAAGCTGGAGCCTGGCATTCTTCATTCAGCATTTTTCTAGAAAAAGAATTACCGAAGGGTAATTAAACACCATATTTCTGGATTATCTTTAATTAGCACAGCAGTAAGGCATTGTACCTCCAGAGTTTTCCTTTGCTGTTCACTGATTATGTCACAACCAATCTTTAATAGTTTTCAGATGGAGCAATTATCTCCTGTTCCAGTGATCCTCTGCTCCTAGTACCTTGCCAATTACATACAGCCTTTAGCCATGCTCACTAATTTTGTATGAAGTGAGCCTTAACTCACAAATATTGGTTTTGATTTTCCATTAAAAATAATTTTCTACCAGAAATATGTCTCCAAGAAAATAATCATCTTAATCTTTAGTCTTATAATTCCCATAAACTTTGGGAATCTGAACTATGGTGGAAACTAAATTTGAGTTCAGCTGATTTTCCTTCTTCTTGAATCCAGATTCATTCTGGATTTATGCCCACTTAAACACAAAATATCTGCAACTGCCTCTGAGCTTGGAGCCTCAGGCAAGGCTATGGAAAAAGACTCTTTGCTTCCCTTTCTGACCATTGTCCTTTGCCTGTGCAGTGTTTTTGTGAGATGCAGACAGAGGCTGTGTGATCTTCAGCTACGTGCAGTGTGAGTCTTGTGCGTTGACCATTAATGTGCTCAAACCTTAGGTGAGCCTGGGGGCACTGAGACAGTATTTTTCCCTGGTCACACTGAAGAGGAGGGTGATGCAGCATTTTCTGGAAGTGCAGTGAGGCTGAGCCAGTAGCTGAGCAGCTGTGCTGTGATTTTTACTTACCATAGTTGTTTCTGCAATCGAGCCAAAGCTGTTGATGAAAATGTTGCAGCTGACGTTCACTGGCGGGCCTGCATGACAAGCACAGATTGGAACAGCAGTTCAGTGTGTGCTGTAAGACAAGGTATTTCCACTCCATGGAGTTAAAACCATTATGGGAACTGGGTGACTGAGGGGTAAGTAGGGGAGTAAGGTCTGGATGATCCAGCTTGGTCTGGTCATGATTCTGATGCCAGTTTGACACCAGACAGTGCTTTTGCTTCACCTCTGTTGCCCTGTTTGGAAGAATGTTTATATATCTCAGCTGTAGACTGTTCAGATGAAAAGGAATAGATCAGAGCCAGGCAGGACAGCTTTCCATATATCTTGACCTGGCTATATGGGTGGCAAGCTCACCTTGAATGTGATAGCAACGTAACCCAGGAAAGAGCTGAGAGACTATTGATGTTCATTTAGAGCTTACTGATGAAATATTCATATGAAGCACCTAAATGTTCCTGAACTAGGATGATGTGCTCCCTACAAAGGCAGTGCAGCACAGTGTAAGGGTCAGGCTGGCTGAAGGAACAAGTACCCCATGAGGTGATGGTGGTGTCTGCTAAGGCTCACAGCTGGATAGGAGACTTCAGGGCTCTGCCAGCAGAAATTCTCTGGCTGTCCTGGTTTGGCAAAGGGTACTCCCAGACTCTGGGCTGTGCCTCTCCTGGGCTTGATTTGCTTTCAGACTGAAGCTTTGCTTAGCAGCTCCACCAAAGGAGTGAGTGAGGGTTAAAGGGGTGAAAAAATTGTGGTTAGAGGCCATGGGGGTCAGTCTTTTGTGTGATACTGGTGCTCAAAGGTATCAGTATGACTTGGAAGTGTTTCACGATATTGCCTGGCAAATCTGAAGTGGGAATGTTGCATTTACACCGAGGAAGATGCCAAGAGCTGCAGTTCAGGACAAAGCAAAAAGCTGGAGGATATTTTGGAAGCAGAGCATACCTGGTGCCTGGAAAAACAGTGGCTTGCCCATATGTAATGAAAAGATTTCTGTAGAGCCTTAATAAGGGGAGAGGAGAAGGAAAAGGGGCCTCTGCTCTGGGAGCTCCCAAAGGGCCTGCAGCAGGTGCTGCCCGGTGTGTGGTGGGGAAAGGCAGCTCAGGCAGAGAACAGACACTGCCCCAGGGACCAAGATCCCCATCTAACACTGGAGGAATTAATCTCATATCATCCCTGTGACAGATGCTTCTGGAAAGATAAGATCTGTGAAAGTGGAGAGTGTGGATTTTTAGATTGTTCCCCCATTCTTTATGGAGTCAGGGATGGTGTCTGCATTTCAAACACTGCCTGGTGGCTCAGCCTGCTGGGGGAGTGATGCTCCTGTTAAGGTCACATCTGCAGTCTGGCACTCACTGCAAGATGAAATACTGGAGGGGGAGGAATGGCTTTAACGAGAGGCTTGTGCCTCTAATCAGTGCAAACGTCCTCCTGTGTGGCAATTAATGGATTTTCCTGATTACTAAGTAACATTTGGAGCTTGGTTTTCTCATCTTCATTTCCCTTTCCTCCTCTCCTACTTTGGCCTCCTCTGAAACTTTGTGCCTGTCCCCTGTGGGATTAGGATTGCAGCCACATAACAGTGATGTTCTGTGGGTGGGATTTTCTTGGTACAAGTCCCAGGCAATCCAGGCAGGCTGCTGCCTAACCAGCTCCCAGACAACCACTGCCAGCTCAGCAGCATCTCACACTGTTCAATCTGTGCAGCTCTTTCTCCAGACTATTAAACATTGGCATGGGTTAAACTATCAGACACAAAATTATATATATATATTTTTTCCCCTTCACCAACTCCTTTTATCTGAAAGCTTGGCCAGCAGCTGAAAGCACACAGTTTATCAGGCTTTAGCACTTGTTTTATCCCTTTTGTAGTGCTCCTGTTGAGCTCAGGAGCATTGGTTTTCTATTTTGGATCCATCTCATGAACCACACGGAAGGTCCATGTGCATGTGATTCCCCTCCCAAAGGGCACATTATAAGGAAAATACTGAGCTGATCTTCTGGATGACTGAATGTGTTCATGACAGACATGGAGTATTTTGGTTCTCCTGTTCCTGATCCAGTGCTGATGTGAAGCTGAGTGTGGAGTGAGTTTGGCCCAGTGCACGTGAAGACTCTCCTTGGGGCAGCTCTTGTCAGGACACTGAGCTCTCCCCACCATGTCCAGGGGGAGCCAAATCTGTGCAGGATTTGGGTGATTTTTAGTTTGTGAAAGGCTCTAGAAAATTCCCTGACTCCCACTGAAACGTGCCACCTCTGCAGTGGGATGCAGCTGTGAAGGAATACAGTTTTCCAGCAGCAGGGCTGAGGGTACAGCCTGAGTGAGGGTCCCTTGTCCCAATGCCATGTTCTGCTCTGTCCCTGCCTGAGTTGCTCACTTTGTTCTCCAACTTGAGCCAAACCCCAGAAGCTTCTTCCTTGTTCTCAGAATGTGAATCCACAGCTAAGTCCAGACTTTACAGTGTTTATGGAAAAGCTGCAATCTTCTTTTTGTTAATCTTCCCCTCCCCAAAAATCAATCTGATATGGATCTTTGGTATTATTTTCATTTAGATCTAAGCAATTAAAATGTCCTTATGAGTTACTGCAGTTAATTTAAATGATGTGCTTTGAGAGCTACAACCCCAAGCTCTGTAAAACACCTCCTATTCCTCCCATATAAATTGGAGCCTGATTTATGTGTGGGAGGCTAAGCCAGCAAAACTGCCCTGGGGGGAAGGTGTAGTTCATTGAAATAAAACCGAAATTAAATTATCTCAAATAAAAATGCAATACAGCTGCCTCTAGCAGGAAGTTAATGTATACATTTCATTAAATATTAAAGTTTAATTTGTGTGTGTGCATAATTTAGTGGTAGGCAGGTTTACAGGGTGGTGTTTTAACTCTTTGTGATTTGGGTAAGAACAGCAGTGCTCTCTGTTGCCTGGTTGATCACTGGGACATAAGGTTCCCACCTTTTTTTGGGTTTAAAAGCCCAGTACAGAGCTAATTGTTTGAAGCTGGGTGGCAGGTGCTGTCACTGTGATTAATGGGTCCTGGGAGTCCCGTGTTAGCACTGCCAGTGACTCCAGGGAGAGGGGGAACTGGTAGGAGGAAACAAAAGAACTGAGCTTTGAAAAGGGCTGGGCAGTGGCTGGGGGTGGGGGGCAGATCCTGCTGTATCTCTGTGTGTGATTCAAGGCCAAATAGCTCCGGGAAAGTGAGCTCAGTTAAAAAGAAAACGAAAAAATCATAGAATGGTTTGAGTTGGAAGGTCCTTAAAGACCCTCTAGTGCCAACTTCTCTGCTGTGTGCGGGGACACCTTCCACCAGGCCAGGCTGGAAAACCCAACAAAAAAAACCCCAAAACCAAACCAAACAAACCACAAAAACCAAGCAATCAAAATAACCCAAACAAACAAAAAAGACACAAACCCCACCCCTGTTAGAAGAGGTGTTTTGAGGAGCAAAGAGAGAGGATCTGTTGCCTCTGCCAGGGCCTGATTCAATCCTGTCTGGCTACCACTAAATACAGGGTGGATTGGAAAAATTGGGTGTGAGACAGTGGAGCTGTGTTGGGCTTAAGAGTTCTGTTACTGTGGGGGACAGGGATGGGTCTGAGCTGCCCCTGGATCTTACTGAATTTCTTTGGAGCTGATGGGAGAGACTCCTCTTGGCCACAGTGGGTGTAAGGGGGAACATTGCCTGCTATTAGAAGGTGCTGTGGGCAGTGACTTCAGGAGAAAGTTTTTCTCTTAACCTGTAAGATGTTCAGCTCCCTGCCAGTCACTGCTTGGTTTGGCAGGATCCCTGATCCCTACTTCAGTGTATGCTTCCTGTGTGTAAAGTTTTTACAAGGTTGATTCTACTCTGAGTGGACATCTTTCCATGTCTTTCCAGATATGTACAGGGGATCCATGTGCCAAATATAATTAAGAACACCAAGATTGTTCATATTCCATATACAATTAGGGAGGTATTCAGGAGGATTGCATGCAGCTTTCAGTCCCAAAATGAAACAAAGCTGGGTTTTTTCATACCTTTAAAATTTGGTCTGATCCTGGCATCGTATCCTGAAGTTCGCCCCATCAACTTATCCAAGAAATCAGAAGGAGACATGGGTTTGGGGGCAGACCGTGCTGCTGCTTCAGCTTCTTTGGAGGCTGCCAGGCTGTGTGAGTAGAAAGAAAGAGGAGGTTTTAATGTGCATCCCATACTGAGGAGGGTTTGGGGTCCAGAAACAGAGCAGTCAGCATCTTATTCCTGCTGAGGCAGGATGGGCACCCATGTGAATTCCTAATGAGGCTGGTCTCAGCTAATTTGTTTGCCCAGCCCAAACATCTCCAAATACAGAATCCCAGCTGCCACCAAAGTAGAAGAGAGATGATGAGTAGTGAAAATCCTTTTGTGAGTTTAGGTATAGCTCCTTGGCGTGCCACTAAATTACAAATGTGAACTCTGGCGCTGAGCTCCACAGGTAAAATACACTCTGAGATTAGCCTTGGGCTGCAATTACTGCTTAATTACATGGCAAATAGCAAGGAGCACATTCGGTACTCTGACAGCCCAATTTTCCAAAAGGCAGGTAGGATCAGAGCAACCTGGAATTTGAGGTTTAAATGAGCGTCACGTGATGGTAACGCTCGTGCAGAGCCTTTGGGACTGTAGGGGAGAGAGGTGGTTGTGCTTCCCACTTGCTGATCAGTCCAGCATTTGCTATTGGTACCTGCAATGCAGGGTTTGAGTTCAGCTCAGCAACACGGTCTCTGGACTGGGAGATGTCTGGACGGTGATCCTGAAATCACACTCATGTTGGGTTGAGGATGAAAGCAAATGGGGTGGTTTTGGGACCTGTATGGCCTCTGGGGCAGAAGGAGTGAAATAACCAATTTATCTGTGGAAGATGAAAACCTGTGACTGGCAATGTTCCTTCTGGCTCAGTGGGAGTCTGCAGGGTGATGATTTGGGCTGATGAAGTCTGTTGTTGCCATCTACACAGGAAGAAGTGACCCCTGGTACTATGTGCTCATTCTCAACTTTGAGGATGGTTTCACTTCCAAGACAGTTCCCCCCCTTTGGTTATGTGACTTCTACTTGAACACCAGTCTGTTCCCATGCTGAAAGTGTGGTGTAAAATTGCCTAGATTAGCCAAAGAAAAAACAACCCTTGCATTGTGCTTAGGGCAAGAGCTGTCTCTGCCTGTGGGCTCAGGTGCCTGATGCTGGTTGGAGCCTGCAGGCAGGATTGCAAGGCAAACGTACCATGAGCCAAAGGAAGCTGCTCGGGAGGAAGTGAGGCTCATTGCTTCACACTTTGCAAAACTCCTGAATTTTTTAAAGTACAAAGGCCGTGTGGGAACTGACAGAGCCAGTGGGAGGCCTGAGAATGTTTGCAACAGGTACAAGATATTTAGCTACATGTGTCCTCACAGGTGACAGCATGAGGGCCTGACCTTGGGAAATTTTGCAATAGTCAAACCTGATGTTTTTTGAAGAGTAGTGCTAAGTACTGACACAGGGTCTTCTGGGAAAAATTTGGGACAGTGGCTGTGCATTGTATTAATGTGATCCTGCCCTCAAAGACCTGTTCATCCAATGCAAGTTTGAGATGAGCCTCCAAAGACACAAAGGTCTTGATAAGAACATTTTGAGCCATTGAGGTCCTGAGGAATTTTAAAACTGACAGAATTCAACAGTGCTTGGGTGCCATAATTTCAAAATCAGGAATCTAGTACCCTGCATTGCATTGACTTTCTTTTCTCGTGTCAGCAGTGATGGCTTGCCAAGCGATGGTTTTCAATCCTGCAAACTCACAGCTGCAGTCTGGCTTCTTTTGTGAGCTGCAAGAGGGTACTCTGATTACTAGGTTTTTAACGATTAAAAATTAATTTCCACAATGAAGAGGGGAGATGAATTCCAGGCCACTTCCACTGAGAGTCTAAACCTAGGATTTCATTCACCTCTTCATATATTCACAATCCACTGCCACACTGGCCATGTCTGAGCAGGCTGATGCACACTCATTCTTGGTGTTGACCTGACAGGTTGTGGATTTCACTTTTACTCCAGACACAGTGCCCTTTCTTATCTTGTCCCTATCTCTGCTCTAAGGAACTATGCAAAGCCCAAACCAGTGTGTTTCAGGGGTAAATGGGGTTGTGGAATGGGTGATGGTTTTAATTTAATTATTTTTAGGAGGAAAGCGATGGGGTGCAATTGATTTGCAAACTCAGAAGAAAGCTGGGGGTGGGAGGACAATCGATACTGGGCTCGACTACTGCATTCCAATGGAGTGTCTGCATGGCAATGAGTCCAGAGAAAAGATTTCAATTAAGCAGCAAATGACTTGGTAACCAAAGACTCCTGCCACTTCAGCAACAAGATGCCAAATACTGCAATACACTGATTTCTTCTCATTAACTGTTAACTGGAAGAAGTATATGGAAATGGAAAAGTGTGGGGGGGATGAGGCAATACAAATCTAATAAGCATCTAATAAGCTTTAAGTGGAAAAAGATAATTAGAAACTGCAATTCCCCTGACATTTGTTTTAAAAAATGAGGTGAAAAGGCAAAGAAATCAGTGCTGAGCTTTCCTGTAAATTCAGCGTGAAAGCCTGTACTGAATATGTTCACTCACAATGAGTGAGGCTGCTGGTATTTTTTGGGTATCACTTTCTGATTCTTTCCCCATCAAAGTTGCAAGTAAATGAATTTGATGGGCTCAGTTCCTACATGGAAGTATTTATTTAGATAACTGAATCCCAGAAGCATCTGGGAGAGGACCAGACTCTCACAGCCCCACTGCTTTCTGCAGCTTCATGCCCATCTCTGAGCAGTTCCTGGGAACACCTTTGGGGAGGTGCTGGAACTGTCAAACATGGTTTAATGCCTCCTAATATGTGTTTTTAAATCTGTTTGTCTGCTGTGTGTTGTTACCCAGGTGACCTGGGGAGGATGAGTTCTGAGTTTTGTCTAGTTTCTCTTTGGTTATTAGATGTTTTCCTATAATGACCTGGTAACAGCTTCCCCCTAGATTTAACAAGAAAAGGCAAGAAAGGCAGGGGATGAAGGAGTAGCAAAGCCTTTCCAGCAGCAGGCAGATGAGTCAACTCTCTAGCTTAGAAGAAATAGTAGAAAACACCACTGGGAACTACAGAGAGGCTGGTCCACCCCACTGTGCTTTAGATGGATGGTTTCTCTCTAACAGAACCTCAAAAATCTTCACTCTGGTTGTGACAACTGAGCTTTGCAATGGCAGTTTAGCTCAGACAGCACTCAAAATACAACTAGCTTCTGTTCTCTTCCAGGTCTGTCTAGACTCATGCTGTGGGCTGCCTTGGGAGCTTTCTAGGATTTTCTCCATGCCTTTCCTTCTTGCAAAAGCACCCTTGAAAGTCCCACAGGACTGTTCATCTGCTGGCCCGGCAGAGGCAGGGAGAGCAACTTGAAAATTATTGACAATAGAAGGAAATTGGAGATTTAGAGTGTGTTGTGGTGGTGTTGAAAGAGAAGATTGATTCTGTGAATAAACAAAGGGAGGCAAAGCACGTAACAAAAGCACCGAGGCTGTAGTTTGCATTGGTGTAAGAGTGTTGTCTGAGCTGGGTGTCTCGGCGCATTTTAATAGCAGTCAGACAGCGGCTTATCTTATTTATGCTGGTGTAATCCCTAGTGGATCTGGCTGAGAAAGTGCCATCAGGCAATCATCACAGCCACTACAATGGGAAGGATCTCTTCAAAGGGTCGATGAACTAGCATAATCTTTTGTGATATTAATGCTGGCTGTAAGCAGACACCAGCAAGCCCCCAGGAGGTCCAGCCCACGAGCAGGATAGGAAGGTGAAAACTGATGGAGATGAGCAGCTCAGCTGCTCAGGATTGCATTCCTTAAAACACAGCAGTCAGGCTTTGCAGGACACCTATCACTGCTTTCTCCCAGCCTATACAGGCACTGTTTACTCTGTCTGCATTATTTTGTTTCATCGAAACAGATGATATATTCTTATAAACAATTATTTGGTTTAGAAAGTGGCTCTTCTGCAGTCTGGACATGTCTGTTTGTTCAGTTCCTGGCTCCCCAGTTGGCTGTTTCCTCCTTCTCCTCTCATTTGCATGGTCCTTGTGCATTATTTTCATGTCTTTTTCTTTTTTTTTTTGAGGGTGTGCCTGTGGCTGTCCATCTAATTAAGTCCAATATCACAAACTGCCCTGTTCTGGTTGAATGCTGATACTAAGGAATATCTTTTTGCAAACTAAAAAAAAAAAAAAAAAAAAAAGGAGTGATGAAGGAATTTAATTAGCACAGGGCCTCTATTCCCTTGTCAAATGATTTAATTGTTAATCATTAATTCTGGATGTAAAAAAAATCATGTCTGGAAGCAGAAACAAACTCTTGCAAAACAAGTGTTTGCAGAGGAAATATCTCTGCAAAGTGTGAAAGGCTCAGGTCCCTGTGAAGGTAAAGTGGTGCCACATCAGTGGCTCAAGAGAACAGCACTGGGTTTATTTCTCTGGCTGGACTCTCAGAAGAAATGGAGATACCTAACCCCTTACCCTGGTTCAGTGCTGCTCAGCAAAGCTTTCTGATGTGGTTTGTTGGGAGTTTATTTTATTTTTGAAACGCAGCAAGCCAGAAAGCTTGGCAGGGATGTGTTGGGAATAGTGTTCAGGTGAACTGCCTCACATTTGTCCTTCAAATGCTGTGTATTCTGTAAGTAGATATCCCAAGGGAGGGAAATATCCATCAGGTCTAAGGCAGGCTGAGGTGAGCAGAGTGTTTCCCCTGTTGCCTTTAAAGCCAGGCTGGAGCAGTGTGGGGGCTCAGGGACAGAGGAGGATTCATCAGCTCAGCTTTATTGACTTCAGCAGGCTCTGAGAAGTGCAGTTGCAAAGAACATCAGACAGCTGGGCACAGAAAGGCCTCGTGCTGTCCATGATTAACTAGGGTTGCCCAGGATAACTCTCTCCTCACTCTCCCAGAACCATCTCCCTGGTCCCTGAGCAGATACTGGAGCTCAACAGAGCCCAGCCTGGATTCAGCCTCTGCCAATGCTGGAGCTGCCTGTCTCCATCTTGTCCTCAGCAGCTGGAGAGAGGCAGGAAGGACAGACAGAAGATTGTCTTGGTGAAATGAAAAGGGGCAGCCCTAAACTCTGCACCCAGACTGTTA